GAAGTTGTTGATGAGAATTTCAGCAACTTCTGAAATCATTGGACAAGGCAAGGTGGTTCTGAAGATGACTTCGGGAAAAGAGCTGACTCTTAACGATAGCATGTGCCGAAAATCCGTAAGAACCCAGTGTCTAGGTTGCTTTTGAATAAGCATGGTTTCCATATTGTATTTAAGTCTGACAAAGTTATTTTGTCAAAAAGGGGAATGTTTGTCGGAAAAGGTTATGTTTCCGATCAAATATAAATAAAGTGAACTCTTCTACTTACTTGTTTTAGTCTTCCAATGTGTGATATGGTAAACTAGGACATGTTAACTACGATACTTTACGTAGACTAGTTAACTTGAATTGCATACCCGCGTTTCATATTGATTCCAAACATATGTGCGAAATTTGTGTTGAGGCAAAATTGACAAGATCATCCTTTATGTCAATTGAACAGAATACAGAACCACTTGATTTAATTCACAGTGACATATTTGATTTAAAATTTGTACAAACAATAGGTGACAACAAGTATTTCATTATTTTTGTTGACGATAACATAAAATAATGCTATGTGTACTTGCTAAAAAGTATGGATGAAGCGATAGATAAATTTATTCTCTATAAGAATGAAGTTGAGAACCAGCTTAATAAGAAAATTAAGTTGTTGAGAAGTGATAGAGGTGGTGAGTATGAAGCACCGTTCGCTCAATTTTGTACACAATACGAAATCATACATGAAACCACCGCACATTATTCACTGCAACAAAATGGTGTTCCTGAAAGGAAAAATTGCACCTTAAAAGAAATGATGAATGCAATGCTAATAAGTTCTGGATTACCTCAGAACATGTGAGACGAAACTGTGTTGTCAGAAAATTACCTTTTAAATAAGGTGCCCTGAAAGAAAATGGAAAAGACCCCTTATAAGTTATGGAAATGAAGAAAGTCTTCCTATAAATACTTACGAGTGTGGGGGTGTCTTGCTAAAGTGGATGTCCCAACACCAAAAAAGGTGAAGATATGCTCGAAAACTATAGATTGCATCTTTATTGGATATGCACAAAACAGTAGTGCTTATCGATTTTTTGTATATGAATCTAAAATCTCATATATACAAAAACACGATAATGGAATCGAGAAACGCTTCGTTCTTTGAACGCGTATTTCCATACAGGTCCAAAGAAGAAGCAAGCTCTTCTAAACGGACATCTAAGACTATGACTGAAAATAGTTAGGACCAAGCATTAGAAGAGGAAGTTGAGGTTGAACCAAGACGTAGCAAAAGGGAAAGGATAGAAAAATCTTATGGTCCAGATTTTCTGACCTATATGCTAGAAAGTGAACATCAAAGCTATCAAGAAG